CGTGCATCGTTGTCAAGACTTTTTTTTCCTGAAGTGGGTGAAAATTTTTATGATTTAGGGGAACTTGTTACATGTGGTGGATTGTAGTTTGGCATGGCGCCTTGACTGTGTACACAATACAAAGTAACAAAAGCATGTTTATGCGTACTGGTGATGAAGCATGCAAATAGCAGATAAATAGCTTGGGATCTAATGAATCTCTGAAATGCTGAACAAGAAGTGCCAAATGTAGAACAAGCGAATAGCAGGAATGTACGATTGGCTCTCGAACGTAAAGTTAGAGGTCGAGTCAGGTGACGGTGATGGTGATGTTGTTAGTCAAGAGTCCTATGAAGATGAAAAACCCAAGACCCCAGTAGAAGGGAGAATAAGGACCGTCCCGTAGGAGGATGTGATAGTTTTTTGGAGGGATTCGGAACGTATCAAAATGTGCAAAATAGTAAATACGATGAAATGTAATACCAAAAATGATAATGGAATGAGAAGTTTTTGAGGTGGTAAAAAAAGGATTGAAAGGCAAAAATAACAAAAAAGTAAACATTGCGTTACGGCAAACATTCCGCATTCGTGTCTCCATCTATTACGGAGCACCTCACTGTGAGACAAGCGTTTTACCGAAATTGCTAATAAAGATAAAAATAAGGATGAAATAGTGTTAATAATAGTAAAAAATAAAATTATAATAATAAAAACAATAATAATGGTAATAGTAGTGATAACGATGATGGTACTAATAACAATAATAGTGACAACAATAGTAACGGTAATGACAGTAAAAGTTATACCAGCCAGTTTAAGAGGCCCAATTTCAATGAGATACAGTGGCATATCGGCTACAAATGTGCAAATATGCCCGCAGCAATTCCTGAAAATTTGTCGCACATTTGATAAAGTTTAACTCTGAACGGTGAATTAAATATTTATTTATTGTATTCCTGAAGAAAACTAAATAAGTTCAGGAATAAACATTGCTTTCTCTTGTAACCTTCGGAGATTATCCTTTCTTGCATAAATTTCAGCAATTTTCAGCTAATTTTTCACATTATTTTTGTGCCCTGTTTTTATCCCATTTTGCATCCTTGCAAATAGCAAATGCGCATTGGTACGACCGTCATTCTGCAGCTGCTGTGTAAGAGTGTTTGTTTGTCTCGTATCTACCAAAAAGCAGAAATTTTCAAGATTTAAGCTCTGACCATTTAATGGCTCAAAAATCGTATAGAAGCCATCATAGTTCGTTGGTTTTCGCAAGCTATGATGCGCTCTTATCTAAATTTATGCATGCGAATTGAGCCGACAGCTCAGAGGGGAGAATTTGTTTCCTCGACAGAAATTCCTAATTTGAGCTATTTTTAGTACTGAATGAATTATTTTACAGTATGCCCGTTTGGCGCTGATCCGTTAGTTTTATCTGGCGAATACAGCTACTGTAGGCCAACAACAATCGGTGAATGTCCGGCAGGTTTCGTCTGTGACTATAGCATGGTACTTGGCCGATCGATATGCTGCCAGGATATGCGCAACAAACCGGTCATCAACATTAAGGTCAAGCCTGCTCCTTCTGGTTAGTTCGTGGGTTTTTCGAAATTTTGCAGATCTAAGCAAACCAATCGAAAATTTCTTCCTTAATCGAATGTTCGATTTTGCGTATTTTACAGCGAAAACGAATTTCCTCTTGCGCTCAGACAACCTCCAGGACAGCAACTGCAACGATTAGTCAAGTGCAAGCAATGGGATTATTTCCGCGTACCTCTATCTTTTTTGGTAGCAGAACACGGAGGCGTTTTGACTCAACTGTGTTTCACTTACTTTGCTTTAGATTCATGTAACCGAATCTTATGGGCTGAAAAATTTCAGTTTCAACGGCACAGCCTCATCTTACGACACTGCCATCAAGAGGTGCAACTCGTACAACTCCACAGCGACCGCGCTGGTTCTCAACGACGACAAATCGTGCAACTCCGTGGTACATAAAGGATAGGTCTGCTTTTATTGTTGAAAAGCAGTGAAAATCTGGCTTGTTCTGATAGCAGTTACAGAATTGTCGAGCCCAGCTGACCCTGATTCAATCTTTATTAAAAAAAAAACTTCAACACCAACACAGTAATTGCCTCAAAATACTAAACGTCCAAAGAACGTGCACGACCTTGTCCAGCCGCACACACTATTTCGTTTTGGGCCTGCGCATCTGTATATACAAGATCACAGGCAGACAGAGCCTCACCCCAACATACATACACAACAAAAAATCTTTATAGAATTCAATGCACTTGCTCCAGCAGACGGAATA